ATTATTCTTACCTTAGAAAAAAAATAGATATAAAAAATAATGAAAATGAGAAAAATAACTAAAACCATACAAAATTAATCAAATAAATAATGTAATCAATAGAAATTAAATAGAAACTGGTAAGAAATAAAATAAATATATACAGAGTGGTGGGTTTTAATATTTTACACATTATACGGAGTCTTAATGTACTACTTATTTTTTAAAAGAACAAGCCGTTCGGTAAAGTTGGAACTATTTTAGATAATTTTTTCTAAAAAATAAGAAGTGATATGTTAATACTTTGTATAATGCGTAAAATGTTAAAACCCACCCGTATATTTTTATTTTACTTTTACCAATTTCAAGTTAGTTTCCATTGATTACCTTATTTATTTTATTATTTTTGTATCATTTTAGTTACATATCTCATTTTTTCATTTTTATATCTATTATTTTTATTTTTTAAACTTAACGTGCATTTCCGTTAACCCTCCGTTAGAAACTTAACGGCGACCCAAAACTTGCAAATTTCCGTAAAGTTGGGATTATTATGCATCACAGTAAAAAGTGAGATTATTTTTGAAAGACCGGGTAAAGTTGAGATTATTTTGGGTAATTTTTCCTAAATAAAATGAAGCATATAAATAAGTTCGGTTTATTCGGTTCGGTTCAGTTTTTCGAAGTAAAAACCAAAACGGAACCAAACAATAACGGTTCGGTTCGGTTTTTTTTTCTAGCTCGTTTCGATCGATTTCGGTTCAGTTTTCGGTTTTCCCAACCCAGCCCTAATGTGATTAGTGAAAGACGACTCAGACTCTCAAAGGAGCGATGTCAATAGTGCCGGAGCCAGAACCTTACAAGCGACTTGCGTTGACACATTACGAGAGTTTGGGGTAGTTCCCTACCTAAAAATGTGTCATTTTCATACTATTTTCTAATTTTTCATTCACATTATAATAGGATATGATATATCGTATAAGATATATGAGTCATAACTAGAAAATAATATCAAAATACTCATTTTTAGGTTATTTTTTTCATCTTTGAACAATTGTACAGAACGTACAGAGGAAGCATATGTTTCTGTGTTGATCGAGATAAATTTAGATTTATTTATGTCAATTTTATGTCAAGAATTTGTATTATTGATATTGATTTAAAAAGTATAAGTTAAAATAATAATAAGCATAAGTCACAAAATATTTTGAAATATGGTTTGAAACAAAAACCGTTTAAGATATGAAAAATTGAAATGAGATAATTGAAATAAATGAAATATAAATTTTATATATATATATATATATATATATATATATATATATATATATATATATATATATATATATATATATATATATATATATATATATATATATATATATATATATATATATATAGTATTTTAATAAAAATAAAAAATTCATTTTTCTAATTTTTCGTTTGTCGGCACTTTTCAATCTCTTCCACTTTTTTCTAATTTCTTCCCGTCCTTCCAATTTCTTTGAATTTCTTCTAGTCATTTTTAATTTTTCCAGTTTTTCTAACTTGTTAGAGATAGAAGAAGGAAGTGAGATTGAAGAAGGAAAGTGTTAAAGACAGAAGAAGGGAGCGGGATCGAAACTGAATCTCTTGGGATTAGGTTTAGTATCTTCCCTAGTTGGATTAGGTTTAATATTTATTATATTTTCTAGTTTGTTTAATTCTTATTTTAGTAGGAATAGAAATTTCTTTGTTTGTTTTACCATCTTCCTATATAAAGAGGTTTAATCTTTGTATTCAAAACCAATTCATAAGCCAATTTAATATACAGAAATATTTTCTCTCTTATTTTCTACATAACTATTTCTAGGAAAAACAAAAGAACATGCCTTTAATCTTTAAATTTAGATTTTTCTGGAAAAATATTTTTCGTTCAAACAAACAAGTCCTAAGGGTTAGAATCCAAAACAACAATGTCTTAGAAAAATTATACTCAGTAAAATATAACAAAACTTCGTCACATCCATGTATGATACGTGTTAAAATAGTACTACTTCCTCCGTCCGAGAATGATGTTCCCGGTTTTACATTTTCTCATTTTTAAAAATGGTTGATTATGGGGAGGAATAATCCAAAATACACTTCACTAATTAACACCCAATTTCCGCCAGCCACCATCGTCGGCATCTCTTACCACCCCACCTTCTCCACCAACACCTAAAGTATCGTCAGCCTCCACCACAACCTCTAGTCCCTCCATCGCCGCCATCCCTCTCCATCGCAGATTTGGAAGAAAGAGAAGACCTGCGAGGAAGGGAAGAAGAAGAGGAAGAGGTGGAGGGTGATTCTGTAACAGATCTGTTTTGATGTAATAGAAAAAGGAAGGAAAAGAAGAAGATGATGATGACGATGATAATGGTGAGAAGAAGAAGAAGAAGAGGGGGATTTGTGTTGATCGGAAGAAGAGCAGGAGGAGAAGAAGAAGAAGATGGAGGTGGAATAGGAGAAAGAGAGAAGAAGAAGAAGAATGAAAATGAGGAGAAAGAGGGGAAAAAGAGAGAGATATGGAGAAAGGAGAACCTTAGGAAAGACTGGATGAAAAAAAGAGAAAAAAAGGAGGAAGAGGATAGTTTTGGAAGAATGGTAAAAAAAATAAGTAAAATAGTAACATCATTTCCGAACGGACGGAGTACTAAAACTGCGGAGTATAAAAAAAGAAATTCATTTTGGACCGAAGGCCGAACTTAACACAAATGCACAAAATTAGCTCATGGCCCATACTCATTCCTCCAAAAGAAAGTGCCAATATGAAGCCCACCTCCATTCTTCTTCATTTTTATATAACATAAAAGCCTATCTATAGATATAATGAGCACTCTATATAATTTTTTGACAAAATACTACCATATCAAGTATGCCATTTATAACATTTTTATAATTCTTTAATAAAAAATGAGACTCAAAAAAATTAGATTTAATCTTTTTAAAATTATTGGGGTACATTGAATTGATTATTGGTTAAAGTCGGGTTCGGGTCGGGTTCGTGTTTCGGGTTGGAATGTCGGGTTCGGGTCGGGTCGGGTCGGATTTTTGTCTTAAAAAGTCGTGTTTCGGGTCGGGTTCGGGTTTCGGTTTTAAAAGTCAGGTCGGGTTCAGGTATAGTACTATCCGACCCGAACCCGACCCGTTGCCATCCCTAATTGAGAGATGAGTGAGAATACTCGCACGTGTTTGTTAGTATGGCATGATGAACGAAGGACGAGAAACGGCACTATGGTTCCCGCAATGACTGCTCAATCGTCCGCCGCTGCAACGCATATCTCCACGGAGGGAAGGGAGTTGGTGCTCCAACGTAGCGCGATGGAGGCGGCCATGAATAACATCGCGTTGCTACTGATTCTTTAGGATCCGCAGACGATACAACAGTAACAGAAAAAATATGGTTTGGACAAAAATCAAAACAAAAATATTTAAAAAGGTTTGTACGGAAAAAAATAAAACAAAAAAGTAACGAAAAAACATAAATTATAAAGTATTCATTAAAATAAAAATACTGAAAAAATATAAATAGAAAAAAGAATAATTTTTATTTTTATTTTAGAGGACTGAATTCAATTTTAATAGAAATCGGTAAATATTAAATAAATAATAAAAGTGTTATCATTGCACTAGAAGTGAGGTGTTACTGGTATAAAGTGAGTGATATAGTGAGTGCAATCAGCATTGATCTGACATTTAATGGTTGTTAATTTGGAATGAGCGGTGGTAAAACACTTAAATAATGTTAGAGGGATGAAAAATTTTATCGTTTCAATTTAATTAATGGTACGTTTGAAAATATGGATTTGGATTTGGTTCAAATTCCATGTTTGGGAAACTTAAAAATTTTGAATTTGGATTTGAGTCAAATTCTTATCATTCATAACAAAGCTTAATTTGAAATCCATGCACATTCCTTTGTCATTTGAAATTCAAGATTTTAAATTTTGGAATTGAAATGCATGAATTGAAATGAAATGCTAGTTGCCAAATACTACCTAAGTATAATTTACTTTAATAGTACTAAAATATAATGACTTTTCCAATGTAGTACTATATGTTTTTATTTCTCAATGTAGTACCACTGTTCATTCTCTACCGATCATTGTTCAAGTAAATGTCCAACGCCGTTGGATATTGTCCAAACTAAATGCCCACAATCAATGAATATTGTTCCCGGCACTAGACAATTTTCAAGTATTATTTAAGAAATAAAAAAGTTTAAGAACTACATTGAAAAAAGACATATAGAATACAAAGTATGTTTTAGTACTATTTAGTGCAAATTTTATTTTAGTTAATCATAATTACCTTCAATGGAGTACTTAACTCGGTAACTTTTAAAAATGATTTGATTGGGGGGGGGGTCCTATTCTAGTGCAGCACACTGTATGTATAGAGTAATTATTGAGTAATTATTGGAGGTTCACTCCAAGTTGTGATTGTAGTGACAAGAATCAAAATTTTCTTCCCATCTATGATAAAATAAACAAAAATTACATAAAAACTCAAATTTATTTGTTTATATGCACATTTACGAGTATAAGAGTAATTTGATTACACAAACTTACAAATTATATAATGTTGACACAGTATACATTAAAATAATTAATTTTCAATTCAATTTATTTGATTGTACATATAAAATATAAAAATAAAATTTATATATTTAAAAATTGCATCAATCTACAAAACAATAGGTGACAAGTTTATATTATTTTATCAAATAACTGACGAAACTAGGTAAAGAAAGTGATTAAAATTTGATCGTGGCCCCATTTGGCACCAGCTTTAGATATTAGCATTAGCGTTTTGAAAAGGTTATCCAACGATAGCCTCTAGCGTTAGCGTTTTCGGAACTAATCTACACCATTAATATTTCATCCAAAATTCTAACGCTTATCGAAAACGTTGTTCCCAAACTAAGACCTGTATGAATATTATCTGAAAAGAAGGTTTTAGAGGAGGGAGAATATAATCCATCATAACATTTTACACTCCTCTCACCAAATTATATATTCACACACTGAGAAAGTTGTTCCCAAACAAGATGTGTGTGAATATCATTTGAACATTTTTAAAAACTCCCATCCTTTGATTCCAATATATATGAAAGTGAACGTACATGACGACCAAATATTACAACACACCCATACCATTACATAAGATTTCAATAAAAGAGATCGAGGAAAACAACACTTTTAGCTTGAAGAAATAATAAAGAAGAGAAGACACAACAAATAAAACAACAACAATAACAATGATGATGCAACAAATTCTAAATAAATAAATCTTGAGATTTATTTATAAATGAATATATCAATGGCACTTGAAGCCGGGAGGGATGGTCTTCTGGCAAGCGCTGACGAGCGCGCTTAGAGCGACGGGAACTTCGATGTTGAGGCCGAGGACGTTGCCCTTCAGGGCGGTGCAGAGGCAGGAAGCTGCCTCTGCATCCGCCAAGCCTTCAAGGAAGGTGCAGCAAGGGCTGGTCGGCGCGTGACCGATCTCCACGCTGACCAGCCCTCCCAGAAGGTTGGCGCACACCCCGAGCTTGAGGGCGTCCCTCGGGCAGTACGGGTTCACCGGAAACCCCCTGTGGCCCTGCAGGGGCGGCTTTGGGATTGCCCCCGGCTGCTTGCACGGAACGCCGCCGCATGCGGCCGCCAGTGTGGCTAGGAGGAGGAGGGAGAAGACGGTGGTGGTGGCCATGGCTAAGGCTAGGGCTAGGGCTAGCTAGCTACTTCTTAGCTTATTAGGCTTCCAAGATGTGTGATAAATGATATAATATGGCTCAAAGGGAAGTGGAGTTAAATTATATATATAGTGGGAAATATGTAAGGGTGGGGATGGGAAAATGATTTTTTTTTTAAAAAAAGATGAACTTGTTATAAAAAAAATGGACTTGTAAATTAGAATTAAATCTACTTAGGCACTTAGAATCATTAAGAAGTATATCACTCCCTCCGTCCCAATTTAAATCGCGTGTTTTGGTTTATGATGTTTGACTAAAATTATTTTCAAACTAATTTATTAGACAATTGGAACGGAATTTTTTTTAAAAAAAATTACATACTCCGTATTAAAAAATTGCATTAGAAGATCTACGAAACAAAGAGTGGCATGAGAATAGTATTTTATCAAATAGGTAACGAAAATACGGAAAGAAAGTGAATGGAGTTTAACTATATCAATAGTAAACAGATAACTTAATTTGAGACGAAGAGAGTTGTATATTTTTATACTCTAAAACATATTATCTTTCGTGATCGTTATTGTTGATCAGATCGAATCAAAATAATATCTGATATTGTATTATATTGACCAATTAAGTAATAATAATAATAGTAATAATAATAATAATAATAATAATAATAATAATAATAATAATAATAATAATAATAATAATAATAATAATAATAATAATAATAATAATAGGGGGGAGAGATTGATTGAACTGAAGTTAGAAGAGAAGGGGGGAAACAGGATTGCGCTGTACCAGTTGGAAACTTTTGTAAGCTTGTGCAAAAATAAAATAAAATAAAATGGGAAAATAGTACTCCCTCCGTCCTAAAATTAACTTTTCATTTGACTTTTCACGGTCTCCAATGCGACACTTTGACCATCAATATCTCAATTTTTATATAAATATATTTTATAAAAATTATATATTTCAAAACTATGTTTCAAAATAAATCTATTGCTAACAAATTTATATGAAAATTCAATGTATTTTTTTCGTAATATGTGGTCAAAGTTTAAAAAGTTTGACTACAAAAGTCAAAATGAGAAGTTAATTTTAAGACGGAGGGAGTATATGTAATGTAATGTGAGGCTCTTTTTATATGTACGAGCAGTGGTTGTTGATGATCTGGTAACTTCCCCTCTCTCTCTCACTCACTCCCATTATCGGAATGGCCCCAAGGCATAGCTCTCTCTAAATTAAGGTCCACTTGACATCACCATTATAATTTAGCATTAGTTTTAGCGTTAGCGCTTAAGTTATTTGAAAATGTTATTCCCAAATAAAGCCTAATCGTGGTGTAAAATCCATCTACTTTGAATCAAAAAGTGAAATTAGACGACTGCACCTCTTTAAAAGATCCTAGAATATGGTTGACCCTTTTTTTCTTTCATCAAATTTGATTTTGATAATAAGAAATCACCATAAACATGAGGGGTAAATTTCACATATACTACACCAACTTTAACGTTTATTTCACTTCGCTATACCAACTTAACACTTTTTTTTTTAATTTCATTTGTTTTAATTCTAAACCCTTCTTTAATGTAATCAATTTTGAATTTTTTAATTTCATTTTTATTTTTTAACTCCAATATTTGATATTTAATTAATTTTAATCTTTTTATTTATTTTTGTTAATTTTGAATTTATAATTTTATTTTATTTATAATTATTTATCTATTTTTTAATAAAAAACTATTTGCATTAATTTATATAAGTTTTATATTAAAATGATGAATATTGTAAAAAAAAATAATAGAAGAGTAGGCATCCACGTAGGATTGGGTGCGCCAAGTAGGCATCCACGTAGGATATGTAACCGGCTTTTAACCTGAAAACCGGCTAAAATACCATCGGTGAAAGAAAGTGTTAAGTTTGAATACTTTTCTGAAAGAAAACAAAGTTGGTATAATGAAGTGAAATAAACGTCAAAGTTGGTGTAACATACGTGAAATTTACCCTAAATATGAGTAAAATATAAAGAATTAAAATAGAAATTTCATGTTTTTATTTCCTAAATGGGAATTCGCACTGTCGTAATGTAACACTGTACATAGACATTTCACTATACTTTTTGGTAATATAAATGGTCATGATTGATCGTGCAAAAATATTTTAACTCCTATTTTAAAAATAAACGCATGAAACTTTTATTTTGGTATATTTTCAATATTTTACTCTTTGTTTTTTTTATCTTCGATAATTGAAGAAGATGGTCGAATTTGATTAAGTTGAAGTATGTAAAAATAAACTGATCACGAGTACAATTTTCTAATGTTAGTCTTTTAATTATATACTCCCTTCGTCTCACTTTTTAATACTCCAACCTTTTATTATTTGAACTAATATTAAGAAAAATATTTAAAAAGAAAAAAGGCATAAGTCGAATTTGTTTGGATAAACTATGTAGAATAAAATATATGAGAGAAAATATTCTGTATATTAAATTGTCTCGGAAATTACAAAGGTTCAACCATCTTTATATAGCAATAGAGTAAAGCAAATAAGTAAATTTCTATTTCTACCAAAAAAATCCTTCACGTTTCAAAAAATTGTGTTGTTTAAAGTCCTCATTTCTATTAAAAAATCACTTTTACACCTTACTTTTTCACACTCTATCTATCACATCATATCTTTTTTCTAATAATCTATACATCACATCCTACTTTTAATCATCACATCAAGGGTATTTTTGGAAAATTAACACAAAATTATTCCTCCCTTATTTTACCCTTTTAGTTCAAATGTCCCTATCTTTATGGGACGGGGGATATTAAACCAGGAAAGTCACTAACCAAGTTCTAAAGGGTTCTATACATTCCCTTTTCTGCGTATGTCTTTCGTAACACCTCCCTCAGGCTTAATTGAGCGCGAGAATTGCGAGTGCCCAGTTTGGACAATACATAATTAAACAATATATGTTCAAGTGTCATTTGAACCGTTCAACACATATTTTTTCTTTTTCTTCGATGAAGACGCTACTCTTATCGAATCGACCGAATAATCAATTGAGTAGAGTAACGTCATTCTTTTCGAACCTTCAACGAATTCAACCGAACAGGACGAACACCATTCTTTTCGAACATCCAAAATGCCATTTTTTTTAATCTTCGCTTTGAAGGAATTGTTCTGATTCTACAGAACAACCCTTGTTGAAATTTTTTTAAAAGTAATAGAATGAAAAGGTTAAAAAATAATATTTGGTACTCCGTAATATTTTATTTTTTTATTATCTCTATTATTCCTAGTAATTGTAGATTTGATACTCCCTTCGTCCTAAAATTTTCTTTCCATAGCTCTATTCCAACTTCACGGGAATTTATATTTATTTGTGTTTTTTCATGGCCTATATGATAAAATAAAATATTCTTGTCACCACTTGTTTTGTTGAACTTTTGATGTAGTTTTTAAATATGTATGTTTTATTTTTTATTTCTATACCAATATTTAAATAAAATAGATTGAAAAAACTTGAGATTTTTCTTCGTTTTTGCGCAACGGAAAGAAAGTTTTAGGACGGATGGAGTATTTGTGTTGGTGAATGTAGTTGACATAACACTCAAAAGCCAAAAAATGGGACAAGCAATAGGCGATAAAGAGATTGTCCATTCATTCCCAAATGAGCAGCTAGTACCACTGTTTCTAACATACAGCTACTCCTATACATTGGGCCTCGCCCTGGCACCACCCATGTGTGAGCTTCCAGTACACTTTGGTTCTATCCTCTCTAAAATGTTTTTTTTTCATTTTTTAAATTTACTTAAATAAAACATGTAATAAATATTTTATTAAAATTAAAAATTACATCCATATAATGTACAAAAGTGAAAGAAATAAGAGTGATAAATGACAAAAATTACAAGTCATCAATTAAAAAAACGCAACTACTTTAAAAAATCTAACAAAGAAGAAAGGAAAAAAGGAAAAGAGGGAAAAAAAGAAAAATAAAAACATACTCCGTAGAATTTAAAACAAAGAAGTATAAAAATAAAAAAAATGAAATAAAAAAGTAAAAAAGATTAAATGGAGAGAGAGAGAGAAGGAAAGAAGGATGGGAAAAAAAATGAAAAAGTGTCGTGATGGAGGCGATGGCCACCACGCTCACAGGGGAGGGGCGGTGTTCCCTCTCCATCACGCGCCGAGGTGGCAGCCATCACGACTCCCTCACAAGTCACAACTCCCACACCGGTCAGCCTTACCGTCTCGTCCCAAATTATTTACCCACTTTATAAAATATAGAGTATATTCTCAAAATAATACTCAATAACTATGTAATTTACATATTAAGTCTCAAGATAAATTAATTACCAACATAGTACCCGTTAATTGAGATTAATGCACAGTTTAGTTCTCCGACTAAAAACCTTCAAAACAAAGTTAAAACTTACTAATTTTTTTAAAGTAATCTTTTTTATTTGGGTATTTTCTCAAATTGTTCCATTTTCGAAATAAAAACTCAGTAAATATGAAAAAATAATTTTAAATTTTATATGATAAAAATATATTAAATAAATAATTTGAAAGTAAATGCTCTAGAATGTTCCAATTATTTAGAAAATATCATGTAAATAAAATATTTAATAAAAAGTTTGCTTTCAAAGTATTTAAACAATCTAAAATGTTTCAAAATTATTAAACAATATTTATAGTTTTTTTATTATATTCTCATCCTATAAAATTTAAAATTAATTTCTCATATGCAATGAGTTTTTATTTTAAAAAAGGACCGATTTGAGGAAAAATTCAACTAGACGGATCCATTTTGACAAATTAGTGTAAGTTTTGATGTCGTTCTAATGGTTGTTAATCGAGAGACCAAACTAAGCATTATCATTAATTAACAAGTATTATCTCCTTAATTAGTTTAGTGAAATTTACACTGAATAGAACTAAAACATAAATAATTTCTTAATATATGACTTAAACTTTTTTATTCTTTGAATAGGACTTAAGAATGACTAGTGGGAAGAATAATGTTTAAGTAATGCTGGACATTTTATTGAATAATGATTAATAGATAATGACCAATGGTCCTACATTAAGAAATAAAAACATATTGTCCTAATATTGAGAAAGTTATTACTCCGTATGTTTTAGTGCTATTTAGGTAAATTACCCGTTTATCTTGGAGATTAATATGAAAAAACAAATAATTATTTAGTACTATTTTGGAAATTTACTATAATCTATACTCTTTACAAATAAATGGCATTGTTAATACGAGTATTTCGTTATTGCAATAATTTTTATATACTTTTGTATTTTTATTGACTATATAATAAAATAATATAGTCGTGTTATCACTTGTTTCATAAATGATCCATTTGAGCATGTAATTTTTTATACATAGTTGTCTAAGAACCATTCCATAATCAATCATTTAACCCAAAATATATATTCTTTTCCACATATTGCCCACAAAGAACCGATCATAAAATGGTTCTCAAATATTGAAGACTACAAACATAATATCATAGAATTCGTAAATATACATGGAAAACCCCTTTAATAATAAAGGGTCATTTATGAATTTTTTTACTCTAACCTTTATTTTTTATTTTTATACTCCGTACAAATTTTTAAATAAGAAAATTAAAAAACACTTTATTTTACCTAGAAGTTCCCTTCATGTCATATATTTGGAGGGAGTATCATATATCAACAACATTCATATGCTACCACAAGCTTAGAAAACGACATGATTCAAATAGTGTAGATAATGAACCAATCATGCTTGTTATCATTGGGATCTTTACATGTAGTTGGGGGGCAGAAAATTATTTTGGGATGACACCGCTTTTGTCGTAATGACTCCGATGTCCCTTTATTTTTCATAAAACCTACCAAGAAAGGGATGAAGATGATGGCGAGTTTGGCGACTGATACGAACTCGTATCGGATAGGGAAGACTCAGAGCGTCTTCGAGCTCTTGAGAATATGAGACGAGAAAGAAGAAGAAGAATTGAGGCGAAGGAGAGAATCGGCGAACCGAGGGAGGAAGGGAATTAGGGTTTGATTTGTTTATTGATTGATTATTCTAAATGAGGTTACATCTCTATTTATATGATACAAGGAAACCCTAGCTAACCATAAACCTAACCTGACGGTTCAATAAAAGCGACGAGGAAAAGAACCGTAAAGAAACATCGAAAAGCTTATAATTTCGCTCACCTAATAAAACCTAGATTACAATATTATAACAATAATAATAATAATAATACTATTAAATAACCTACTCTACTATCCATAACAGCGACGGCCAGTGATGGAGGACAGGAGTTTGCTAAATGAGATGGGGATGAAGTTCATGGATACATAGTAAGAGTTCAACACCAAACAAACATACAAAATTGAAACCAAGTTCTTCATGACACTAAATTAGCTCATTCCCTTTCTTTGCTTTTTTTTTTTGCTCTTGATAGAATTTAGGATGGGATAAAGACAATTGGATTAGACAATAAAACACTTGGGCTAAACCACATTAAAAGATTCAATCCAATCGATTAGTTAGTTCGACTCAAAAGTTTATATACCGATTATTTTACTCTGAAACTTCTGATGTGGGATGCACTTTAACACTTCCCCTCAAGTGGACAACCAGGTCATTTTGAATCTAATCGGTTGACCACTTGCGAATGAACTCCCATTCCCTTGATTTTTTTATTTGAGCGCCAACACATAAAGGACCACGAGCCGCTGGGTATGAACTTCCAGACAAACAATCGTGTTAAATGGGCCACAGGCTGTTGGGTATATACATCATAGGGACAACTGGCTAAAGACTAACAAGCCACTAGAAATAAACGTCTAGAAAGATACTTTGACAAACGAGGTGGGCTAAAACTGGCTCCGATACCATGATAGAATTTAAAATGGGATAAAGACAACTAGATTAGGCTATAAGACACTTGAGCTAAACCACATTAAAGATTGAATCCAATCGATTAGTTATACCAATCAGAATTTGGTCTACGCATACTAATATGAACCTGTGAAGTTGGATAATTTTTTTTTATAGAAATGGAGCACGCTATTTTTACTCAATCAAAGAGTGACATAAGCTTCTAATCCTTTCAACTCCTTACCGAAAAGCTCTATGTTCAATTGAGCATTTTCTAAAACACTATGGTGCTTCACATACACTGATAACCACTTAGGAGCCTAAACCACACACAAAAAAACACCACATTTTGTGTTAGGATTTCAAATCAATCACAACACTTTAAAAAATCACTAAATATTAAAATATTCATGTTCCTTTGTCCAGGCAGAAATCCTACCTACATTTTAATTTAGCAGTAAGCTCTTCCTTCGAGAACCTTCAGTGACAATTAAACAACTCCAATTGTGAGAAATGTGAATTGTTTGGTGATCCATAATAGGATTATAGAAGTTTACAACAAAAAATAGAATCATTTGAGCACCAAATGCTCACATTCAAAGCATTAGTCCTTTTATTCATCAGATCAACTTTCGTAAGCACTCCAAATGTTCTTTACCTTATATAAATAAGAAACTTTTCTTTAAAAAAAAGTGCAAACATATATATATTGATATTGTGTGATTAGATGTAGAGCACCATGAGAGGCAAAATCAAATGTACCTAATATATCAACTTCTCTTGAAAGTGTAATCCATTTTGGCTACAAAGCCATTGAGATATTGCAAGTATAATCCAATTTTGCTACAAAGCCATGAACTCGTGATGGCGATGGTATGAAGATATGAACAAACTCAAATGTCAAAATAGCCAGTAAACTTATTGTCAAAATAAGGCATATATTAAACAGCATTACCTTCTTAGCATAGTTCGAACCATGTTTTCAATTTTTTTTTCAGTTTCTTTAACTTCTTCCAATTTATTCCAAGTTCTTTTAGTTTCTTCTAACTTTTCGTTACTTCTGCTCTTTAGAGTTTCTTCTAACTACTTCTGATTTCTTGAGACATAGCTCTCTTTGAGACTCTTAGAAGGTTGGAATGAGTTTTATAATGAAATGTTCCGTTATATTTGTGTAAAAAAAAATTAGTGACGTTATAAAATCTTAAAATTTGTTTACTTCTAGCCTCAATACTCTCTCTAATATTTCTTGTGAATCCTCAAAATCCTAATTTCACTTTTATACCTCAGCGCCTATTTCTCTCCTAGGCAAAAACTGTCTGCAAAGCTACAAATCATGGTATCATTCTCAATCATGTTTCATTCTCATTTTCAAGTTTTAATGTTGATAGGATAATTGCTTTCAAATTATTACATACTCCCTCCGTCCCACAAAAAAGTTCTCATTTTGAATAGTATTTAGTCAAATATTTAAACACTTTGACTACAAATTGTGAGAAAGGTATATTGAATTATTAAATAAATTTTATATAATTGGATTCATCTTAGGATCTAGTTTTAATATCTCAATTTTTTTTAGCATTTCTTTATTTAGATTATATTTAATTTAAGGTCAAAGTGTGCAACAGTTTGACCAATTTATGGTCAAAATGGGAACTTTTTTGTGGGACGGAGGGAGTATATTACTTCAAATTTTTGGACAATGTGCATGAAATTTCGTGTGTATAAATTGGTTGCAGACATTGTGAACCCCAAGGCATATCCCTCGGCAGATGCTGAGTTTAGAATAACACTTCTTCATCAAGTTCAAGATGCATCAAACTACAAGCAAGGCTAAGAAGTGCTAATGAAGGTCGAACAAATTTTCTTTTTTTCCTCTATTACATAATAAAGTTTTTTGTACCTAGAGATGTAGTGATAAATAGTTTTGTTTTTATGTTAATTTATTGCAGCAACAAAAACATTGAAGACAGGTATGTCGAAGTTTGTTGTGATGACAGTTGATACAAAGTCTCTTGAGATTTTTCCACACCTTTCATTTCTTGTTGAAGACAAGGTAATTGTAAGGTAATTGTTTCTTATCAGACATCGAATTTTTATGGTGTGCTATGTTCTTTGTGACGTTATGCAAATTGGTGTAAAATTAGGTACCTAAAAACTAATTATTTGTACAACTGATCTCTTTTGACATCTTGTAAGCCTTTTAAGGCTAGATGTTGATCAACAGTACTAAATAATAATAATAATAATAATAACAACAACAACAACAACAACAATAACAATAACAATAATAATAATAATAATAATAATAATAATAATAATAATAATAATAATAATAATAATACGACATTGTGTACCATTCACACTGCAGTACCAGTACTGTTTTTGGGCGCCTACGGTACTCTCTTCAAAATATTGATAGTTCTTATCCCCAGTTTAACATTAGACAGTATGGCCTATTCGATGGTTCTTATCCTGGGTAAACCATCAATTCTTTGAATGATACTTATTAACATTAAAACTGTACTGTATCATTATTATTATTGTTAATATTATAAAGTATTATTCATCACACGAAGGAACATCTAGCCGTAAAAAGATCAAAATATCTCAAAATAAATCATTTGCACAAATAATTAGTTTTTTTATGCCGAGTTTTAGACCAATTTGCATAACATCACAAAAAATATAACACACTCCTAGAAAATTTAATGTTTGATAGGAAACAATTACCTTGTCTTCAACAAAAAAGTGAAAGGTGTTGAAGAATCTCAAAAGGCTCTGTATCAGCTGTCATCACAATAAACTCTGGCATACCTTTATTCAATGCCTTTTCCGCTACAATAGCATAACACAAAAATAAAACTATTTATCCTCACATCTCTAATACAAAGAAAACTCTATTATGTAATAGAGAAAAAAAGTGATTCAACCTTCATTAACACCCTTTTAACTCGCTTGTAGTTTGATTCTTGTTGAACATAGTCAAGAATTATTAGGCTCAACTTCAGCAAAGGGATATGCCTTAAGGATTACTATGCCAGCAACTTATCTATACATGTAAACTTTTATGCAATTTTTCAAAATTCAAAACAATACAATTTGAAAACAATGATTTATAAACATTAAAACCTGAAAAATGAGACATTATAAGATAAGAGGAGGAGGCACTGAGGTATGAAAGAAGTAATTAGGATTTTGAAGATTTATAAGACAGAACAAGTATTGAGGCTTGAAGTAGATAAATTATGGAGTAAGATTTTATAATGTCACCCACATTGTGTGATTTACCTCCTCCACCAACCTCAGAACATGCGGGCGGGATGAAGGTTTCACCTTTTTGTTGTGAAGTACTCACTCCATTCAATAAGGCCCTGTTTGGTGTTTAGTAGCAAAAAACTTATGTGAATTTGGAATTGATAATAAAAAAATGAATTGGAATTGTTAAATTCAATTCTATGCAATTGAATCTCATGGAATTTCAATTCCAATTCTTTCAATTTTGTATACCAAAGGGACACTAATTTCTTCTCCGATCACATACTCATTTTGGCAATGGTTTGAGAAGGCACGGTCCCAGCGGAAGACGGCAAGCCACAAGCGGAATGGGGCAGTTGCGAAGAAGGCAAGATAGCGGCGGCGGCGACTGAGGATGAGCAGATCTGAACATTCGACGACGACGGATGATAGTAGATCTACGCGATTGGTGGCGGCAGAAGAACAGATCTGCGCAATTGACAATGGCAGAATAGCAGATCAAGACATTCGACGACGACGAAAAAGCAGATCTGATCATTCGATGGACCGCCGCCGCTTGCCTCTTGGCCGTTGCGTTGGAAAGTCGACGATGAGCGTCGAGTTGGGCCGTTGTCGCCAACTTCTACATGAATGACAAGCAAGATCTGTGATTTAAAGAAAGAAAAATGCTACCATATATCCCCACGTCTCCTTGTCCACCAAAAAAATAAGTAAATAAAAATCAAATAAAAATATGTGGTAGAAAAGGGTATGGTATACATTTAGGGTACATCTTTTGGTGTACTCCTAACATTATCCTTAAAGAAAATGACCATGCTAGGGTATCACCACATGGGTGCACTCATGCTTCGCACAGACAAACACAGACGATAATTGTATGTGCGACACAGACAATTATCGTCTGTGTTTGTCTGTGCGAAGCATGGGTGCACACATGGTAACACCCATATGGTGGCACCCTAGCATTTTCCTAATGAAGATAGTGTTGCATAGGTTCTATGTAAGGCTTTGTATTTTAATTCTTTCGAGGAGAAGATAATTGAGGTTGCACATGTTTGGTTTTTGGCATTTATGATGACTTTTGGCTATTTGGACAAATTTTAATGAATTTGATTGGTTAAATAGTCAAAAAAGATGTTTGGTATTTGGTTTGGCTCTTAGAATCCAAAAAGCCAAAATTTAAAGTTGGTAATAGCATTTCAGTTTGGTTGTTGAAAATAATTTTTCTTTATTATTTGTTATTATACGTAATTTTAATGAATAAAATTCATGAAGCGATTTGCGAGAAAAAGAATTTTTTTTTTGAGAATTTAGTGTAGAAATATACAGATTTTTTTTTTGAGAATTTTGTGTAGAAATAAACAGACTACATCAAAGTTTTTTGGAACAAAATATGATACTCCGTTAATATATTATTCTATCAATTGATCGATAAAAAACACATAAATTAATTACATCATAATGACTTTGGAAGAATATATAACTTAATTGAAAATTTACTTGAGGAAAGAAAGAATATACTCCCTCTGTCCTAAAATGTTCTTTCCAGTTACTATTTACACGATCAAACGTTAATCACATTTACTTTATCTATTCTCGTTAGGTATTTGATAAAATAATACTCCCTCTGTCCACCATAGATCTTCTCAGACACTCTATTCACAGGGTCAAACTTTACTCACTTTGTTTGCTTATTTTTACTAATCATTTCGTAAAATAATATAGTCTTGTCACCTCTAGTTTTGTAGAACTTTTCATGTAGTTTATTATTATATAAATTTTATTTTAAAATTTTACTCCTATAATCAATTAAATTGAATTGAAAATAAAGTCGGTCAAGCCTCGTAACGTGTAATGAGAAGATCTTAGGTGGACGAAGGGAGTAAATGAAATCTCCCTGTGTAGGAGTAAAAAAGTATGAAAAAACCAATATAAAAGTCTTAAATCTTTTAAGACCAAAATAAGAGTATAATGACAGTGTGGTGTAAGAATGCACATTAGCAATGCGATGAAGACCATGATGATAGTGTAATATATCGTAATGATTATACAATCATCGATGATCTGTGTCGGCACTCTAGTAGCTGGCGGCAACAGATGGTAGTGTGACAGTGACAGTGTGACAGTTGCAATATGACAATGTGGTGAGCATAACAATGTAACAATGACAGTTTGAATTCCTATTTTGGTCTTATAAGGCTTATGACCCCTATTTTGATATTTTCATAGTTATTACTCCTATCTGGGGAGTTTTTTCCAAATGATATAGCCTTGTCACATCTTATTTTGTATAACTTTTGATTTACTTTTTAAATATATAAATTTATTTTTTTAATTTTACCCTTACAATCAAATAAATTGAATTGAAAATAAAGTCGGTCAAATCTCGTAAACAGAAATGGAAAAAAATGTTTTATGGCGAAAGGAGTATATTGCAAAGCATGTTATACCATATAATTATATAGGTGAAAACTTCATTAAATTTAATCCATACTTTATTTAAAAAGACATGAATTCAAGAAATGGTTTTCCCGCCCATGCCTTAGTGCATTAAAAATGACAATTGTTCACTTAAAATAGTAATGACTCAATTACATTAAATAATTAAATTAAATATTAAATATTTACGTTAAAATGGCCTCCGCCAACCTAATTATGGCAAATAATGGTAATTAATATTACACCCGTACTAACCATAATAAATAATAAGGCAATTAATTGTAAGTTAATATTACACGGTATTTCTTTTTTTGACAAATAATATTACATGGTATTTATTTTTTTAGTAAGTTATAATACTAAACGTGATTAATATAAGTGGAATTAATTTAAAAAGAAAGTTATACAATTATAAGTTCAGATTCGCAAAATATGAAATTTTAAGAAATAATAATAATAATTAACATGATTAATATAATATGGAAATAATTAAAAAGGAAATGATAAGTTGATATTACACGGTATTTCTTTTTTTGGCAATTAATATTACACGATATTTCTTTTTTTGGTAAGTTAAAATACTAAACGTGATTAATATAATTGGAAATAATTAAAAAAGAAAGTTAAACAATTTTAAATCCAGATTCGCAAAAAAGGAAATTTTAACAAATGGAATTAATATTACACGGTATTAACAAATGGTAATTTTTATTACATTAACAAATGTCAATTAATGTTACACGGTATTAACAAATGGAAATTAACATTACACGGTATTAACAAATGGTGATTGTTGGGTCATTAACAAATGGAAATTAATATTACACGGTATTAACAAATGGTAATTTTTGTTACATTAACAAATGTCAATTAATGTTACACGGTATTAACAAATGAGACTTACCATAATTGCAATTGCAATTTGTTAATACCGTGTGAATTATCGTGTACTATCATTAATGGCAAAAAATGTTGCACGGTATTACATTGTTAATAAAGAAGGAGTAAAATGCCAACAAAAAAGACATAAAACAGAGACACTACAAGTATTACTTTCCTTAAAAATGAGTCAGTGCAAAAAAATTTAGTTTTCTTTTTATAAATGCTCATTTGTTTTTATGGAGTATATAGATCTCCACTCTATTAGCAATTTGACAAAATGAAAAAAAAACACAATTAACTCCGAACAAATTTTTTAACCGGAGTTTTGATTGATGTTATTTATATTTTAGTCATGGACAAATGTATGTTGTAGTTTGAAGAGTAATAAATCACAATTACTTGAAGATTTTAATATGCAACGAAGACAGTATTTTCACAAATTTATACGAGTAATGTGAATTATAGAGTAGTCTTTTAAATATTGTAAATCATTTAACTTTTGTAACTTAAAAAAATAAAATCTTTATATTCCATTATATACTAATTTGTAACATTCAAAATGATGTTAATATAATTTAGTAGCTTAAATATACACCGTGCAACGCACGGGTGTGATACTAGTTTAATTTACAACAACAACAACAACCCAGTTGAATCCCACAACAGTAGGGTCTGGGGAGGGTGTGTGTACGCAGACCTTGCCCCTACTAGTTTAATTTATAAAAGGTAATTTGAAGAAGCTAATTTTGCCAAATAATTTTTTATCGACGACCAATATAATTGATTGGTCAAAGTAGCTAATTCAACTAGCCGTTCAAACCAATCAACACGAACAATTATCAGCCAATATCCAACAACTAAATTCTAAACAGGGTCATGATAGTAATAAGATCCTTTGTATACATGGTTTTCTTTTGTCTTCGAGGAGGCTGGAAAAATGAACCAAAGTATAATGTTCTCTCTGTCTAAAAAGGAACGACAGAGATTCTCACAAATTCACAGTTCAATGTTCAACTGCGGGATAAAGTTTTTATTTATATATTTTTCATTGATTAATTGATAAAAGAAAAATATTTTTATTATTTCTTATTTTGAAATACTTTTGTTGTAGTTTTAAATATGCAAACTTTATTTTTTATTTTTATATTAATATTTAAATAAATGAATTGAACAAATTTGATAATTTACTTTGCTTTGGCTAATGTGACAAAAATTTTGTAACAAAAATAATAGAGAAATAAAATTATGATGAATTAATTAAGGTCAAGGATAAAAGACATTTAAATATATTTTTTTGCCAAAAAAGAAACAACAAGAAAATTTACGAACGGGTCAAAAAAGGAAGTGAGAATAAAATTAATGAAAGGAGAAGGATTTTTTTATTTGTCCTTGTTTGTCTTAATTTGGTTAATGGCATAGTAGGCCCGTGGGTGGCCCGAGCAGTCCGATCAAACCGGGCCTAATAATATAGGGGTCCCATTTTTTAAAATATTATATATATATATATATATATATATATATATATATATATATATATATATATATATATATAACCTCTGCATGTTCACCTTGTTATTTAAAATTTATTTAAGAGTAGAAGTAGAAAAAGATGAAGAAATGGGGGTGAAGGAGGGGTTTGCCGGAGAAGACGAAGAAAAAAGAAGGGGGTGGGTGACTAGGGATGAAGAGAATGGTGTGGGGAAGACCTCAAACAAAAGAAAGATAGAAAAGGTAAATTAGTCTTTTTGATAAAACTTATTTGCTAAATAAGGAAACGGAAAGAATCAAGTAGGACAACTCGAAAAGGAAAGTGAAAAGAAAGATACGAGGAGATAATCCAATCCACCTGAGCTACTAAGGACTTGTCTAATCGACTTGTTTTTTAATTATTACTTATTCTTATTAAAATTAGATCAGAAATAGTTTTAAATATAACTATATTCAGATCAGATTAGATCAGATCAAATCAAATTAAATGAGATGAGAAGTTATTCCAATGAGATCAAAAGTATTCAGAACAGGTGAAGAGAACATGTCCTAAATATGTTGTTACCTAAGTTACACCCACCCACCCACACAGAGAGCCTTGATTTCAATAAAATTTTCAATTGTTTTAAAGACATGCACAAGTAGTATCTAGTATACTAGTATCAGACCTGTGCGTTGCACGAGTCATTTTTATGTTATTAAATTGAAATCATTTTCCAATGATAAAAAAAGAGATGCAATAGAATATAGAGATTATATTATTTTAAGGTACAAAACATCACTCCTTTACAAATTTCGAAAG